CATAAGAGGAAAGCACGATTAGAACAGAAACGATGAATACTAAACATTCCTCATCACAAGGCGGCCTACATAACTCTCCTGTCTTTATCTCCCTCTTTCTCTCTCACACACAAGAAGTATTAAGTATATCATATCTATCACTATCAGATTAGAGACTGCATTTTGCTTTATGAGTAAACAGTGCATACGCATGGTTCCTGTTATTGCCTGGTAAGATTAGGAAGAAAATATATGAAAACGAAGACAGAAATGAAAGAAAAGTGGGACTGAAACGCTTACAGACCCTCTCTTAAATGTAGAATGGTCATGGTCTGTAATCATTTCTACACCCATCTTGTCTATTTCATCTTGACATTTAAGCCGAGCACTTGCATGGATGTTTTACCCAGTAGCAATTTAAAGGTAATTTTCTTGTGACACTCATTGTAGGAAAGCTGAGCACTCCAGTGACATCAATGAGCACTAAAATCTTTCACACTTCAATACAAACTTGCTTGTTTTTTTAGTGATAAGCAGTGTGCGTGTGTTTGTGTGTGTGTGTGTGTGTATGTTGTGTAAGAGCTGATGAGACAAAAACACAGAGAGTACTAATATGATTTAGGAGGAAGATGGCAGGAAGCAGACAGCACTAATGCAATGGCTCCTGCTTTAGAGTCTTTAGAGACTGACCACACAGCATTGTAAACGCACACATGTACACACACACACACACGCAGGCGCGCACACACAACACACGACATAGGACAAAGAAAATGCATAATTATATATAACATATAAATCCATATGAACGAATATTCCTATTTCTATCTATGAATACTCCTGGTGATAAAATCCCTGTCACAATAAAAATATGTCCTCTGTCTTCCTCTTGAAACACTTGTACCAGAAATATCCTCTCTGCTGTCTGACTGGTGACAGAACACTGCTACCCGTCAACTCACATCAGAGTCGAAAGAGAGGAAGAGGAAGAGAGGGAGAGAATGAGAGAGAGAGAGAGAGAATTAGAGTGATGCTTTATTCCTCACTTTCCTTGGGCATTTGTGTTTATTCGGCTTGTCACTACCTCCTCTACAGGAGGACGACTGCCCTAAATCCCTCAGTCAGCGAAGCCGGGGGTGGAACCAGCCACACTGGCCGCACCCGCATCACATTAGAGACTCAGCACTGCGATCACAATGAAGGGACTGAGTATGAAAAATACCCTGTCACAGGCAAAAAGATGAATACAGGAGGGGATATAGACAGGAGAGGATATCAGTGACTGAATGTGGCACACATTGAATGTGCATGTGTGAGTGTGTGCGAGCTTTGGGCATTTAAAGCTACGCTGCTTTGTTGTTATTTCCTGCAGAGCTGTTAAGTTCTCTTGAACACACGTTTGTGTGTGTGTGTGTGTGTGTGTGTGTGTGTGCTTGTGTTTGCCTGTGTCTTCCTTTTTAGCCTTTGTCAATTTCTCTGTAGGGTTTATTGTTCCACAGACAGCTGACGAGGATGCAAGAGTAACCATCAACCACACAAACATGCCCACACACACCATACACTGTCACACTAAAATAACAAGCATGTTGGTAGTCGAGGCTGCTTTTATGAGCTTTCGTGTGTCACTGAGTTGCATTTTGTTCTCTTCCACTGAGCCTTCTCCAATCTTCCAACCTAAATCTATTTTCTCTATCTGATCCTTCATAAAGTAAAATTCCCCCAAATACCTAAATCTCCATTGAAACAGATGTCCTTTGGGCTTTAATCTGTAATTCATTTTAGTCTTGATGGCTGGCCTTTTCCAGGGTGATAGATCTGTGATTAGTGGAATGGAGGCTGAATCTTCTCATTATCTTTATGCAAGGCCTAATCCAAATGCTTGCCGGTGTCTTTAGACAGGATCCTCTCTAAACCAAGCCTGCCCCATGCTGGGAAAGGCCACTGCTTTAGGGAGCTTACCCTCTCACATACACCTCATTATGGGTGCTGGATGGGACCGTGAGGTGTCATTAGTGGCACACATCTGAGGTGCTCAGTGCTTTAGATTACCCTGGAAGCTTATCCAGTATATATTTTACATAGTGCCATTGAGGTCGACTCATTTTACAGGCAGAATTTACAGTTTATCATTCACTGCCTCTATGTCTAAGCTTGATGCTGACACTGTTAACAAGATATCTTGAGTTGAGAGAATTACCGCTGCAAGTCCAGAACTGCTGCCCATGGACACAAGTCAAGTAATTCTCTAAATCCAATTAACAAAGAGCTCTTCATCACTCAGTGGTAAAACATGTATGTGCGATTAAAGAAAAACAGATTATACTGACACTAATCCTAAATCACCTCCCAAGATTAACGTATAGGCCTAACCTTGAAATATCCTGGACTGCTTTTTTCTTTTTCGTTTCTTCATTGAGTGTGAGTGTGAGTGTGTGTGTGTGTGTGTGTGTGGGAGCACAGTTATCCCTATTAAGCGCATAGTTGGTGTTCCTGGGTTATACATCCCGATTAGACCTCATTGGCATTCTCCATTATCTTATTATCATTAGCCTACTGTAGGCTAATCTCAAAAGGACAGTATCCCAGTGCATGCTGGTAGCTGCCACATAACATGACATGTTCAAGACACAGGCACGTACTGTATTTTTACTCCCTGTCGTTAACAGAGCTAACAGCTAACATGTAGCTTCCGTAACAGGTTATGACCGGGTTAGGTCGATTTATCATGATATAATACTAATGACACATTGTTTTTATGTATGTAGGAAGCAGGTGAGAAGTTGGGACTGTATATGGGAAGGGGGGGAGTGGATCACTGGGAATGATCCATTGAACATCCATAATCTATCTTCCTATGACAGAGCACATGGAGCAGAAACCAATTAGCTGCGCATCCCATCGGAAATGGAGAAGCAGATACGATAAAAGATGAGCCCACAGCCGCAAGCTACAGGGCAAGTTACAATTAACCTCTCCCTAACTCACACACACACACACACACACACACACACACACAAGCACGTATGAGTCTACTCAGACAACTATTACACTACTACACACACCTGCTGTGGTTTTTATGATGAACCTCAGGCAGGTTGTGGTAGACTCAGACTGTAATGACCCAAAGCAACACTCGGTCACTTGGGATGCCAGGTAGAAATTTAGGTCATCGGCTATTACCATTATTTTACCCCAGTGACTCTCTCTTTCTCTTACTCTCTCTCTCTCTCTTTCTCTCTCATTTATTTCCCTATGCCCTTTTACTTCTCTCCCATAAATCTCAATTCTTACCCTGCCTGTTCCTTCCTCTACTTTCGCTGTCTGTTTTTTCCATCCTTATCTCCCTCCTCCCTACCTGACGTAGGTGTGGCCAGCAACATTACAACAAGCACTGAAAACAAGGAACAAGGTCACACACAGATACACACCACACGCACACACACACATACACCATATACAGTACACACACAGGGCCGCAGGGGCAAGGTCACACAAGCTGTGATTTGGGTCTGTGCTGTAGGAGACAAGCTGGTGAAGAGAGACAGAGGAAATGAGGAGAGAGGAGGAAGACACAGAGAGGTTTGATGATGGACAGAAAATGATTTCCTAGCATCAAGCCAGATATAATGACCCGCTACACTATTCTCTCCCCATCTCCCTCACTCTCTGATGCTATCTGCTCCTGCCGAGAGGGAGGGATGGAAAGAGAATGAGCAATAGATAGAGAAAAACACACAGAGACAGTGTGTGTGTGTGTGTGTGTGAATGAATAATGAATGATAGGTGCAGATTTAGACCCTGGTTTGACCTATTAGTCACAAACGCAGTCATCATTCCCAAATACACCATTAGCTGAAACTTTGGATATACTTTATGTCCCGGTACGTTCGCCCCTGATGTGTGTGTATTCATGAGGGGTATGTGTGTTTGTGTGAACGCTAGCACGCTAACTACCTGCCCATGCCATCACCCCCTCAGATCCCTCCTCTCCTCCCACACGTTGCCCCCGGTAACAGGGGGAAGAGGCGGGGGTGGGGGGGTTGGATAGTGACCATCTGTCAGTGGCCCGGAGATCAATGGAACTGGAGGGAAGAAGGGAGGGAGGGGGTGGCGGGGGTGAGGGAGTGGTGCAAGGCTAAATATGTGGCCCACTGTGACCGAAGCCTGACTCAATATGCGGCCGTTTTATTTACCGACTGAAAACACACACCCCACTAGTCCCACTCACACGGCCTTTATTAACGAATGGCTGATTTTGGTGTGAGCCAGGACATGCTGAGGCTGCGGTGTTGACATGAAACATGCAGATTACACACAACTGCCGCACACATAGATACATACAGGACTGGACTGCTTTTAATTTTAAAATATGCTCCTGTCCCAACAGGGATGTAGAGTTAGAGGCAGTAACAAGGATAACTGAGAGATATGTTGAGATAAGCAGGAGGGAGGCGTTTGATGAATTAATATATATATAGCTCACTGTGGCAGTGGGTCAGATGAGACTAGGACAAAACACTCCCATGCTAGCTAATGAATCAACAACAAAACAATGTCAGCCCTCAGGAAGTGCTTACTTCAGCTGCTTTGTGGGAGCACACGGTGCTTGTATACATTCACACAAACAAACTGTATGTGTCCACACATACATACGAAATAAATCAATTTTACACGTATATACAAAACATATTTGACTCCTACAGTGATGTAAACAGGGGGAATTTTTGCCAGCGCTCACCATGGTATAGTGAAAAACACTTAGAAAAACACACTGACATTACGCTCTGCTGCAATAGGGACTGAACTCATTTAAAATTCACTGTTGATGCAGGAGCTACAGCCAGAGCTGGAGGGAACGGATTGGGTGTGGAGAGCAGAGTAGAGGAGAGGAGCGGAGAGGATGTTTACGCTATTCAATGCCATCTGAATCAATGAGTAACTGTTGTCAACTTGCTGACACAATTGTAGCCTGTCCTAAGTGTTGTACGTGCTTGCCAAATAGGATAAAATACCAGACTTACCGAGCATTTGGCTGAAGAGCAGCTGCTCCAGGTCTCCCAGAACAGTCACCACTAACTCTGGGTCCACCTTCAGAAAGCCCTTATCATCTTCTCCCTCTAGCCCCTTCCTCTCTTTCTTCTCCTCTGTTGACAGAGCTCCAGATTTCCCCTTCTCTACCAGTTTCTTGCCATTAGTCCCAGTATTCCCAGCTCCATTGGAGTTAGCCTTAGTTGGGTGGTCTGCAGGGTCTGTGTCTGCACTCTGGCCTGCCTCAGGGGCCTTGCTGATGGGCTTGACTTCAGCATAAGGTCCTCGTGGTTTACCAGGGGCAGGGATTCGACTGGGCTTGCTCACGTTAGAAGTCACACATGGGGAGCTGAAAGGTTTGGGCTTCCCCTGGAAAAGAGACTGTTCTGACTTTGAAAGGGTCCGGGAAAGTGGTGGTTTCCCACCCCCAGCCTGAACTGTCTTAGTCTGGCCCGGCTTGTTGGTGCCAGTGCCGGGCCGGCCCGTATCATCATTCCAGCGGGGAGATTGGTAAAGGTGCAGCTTCTTCTCTGCATCCGTGAGCACACACAAGTTGCTAAGTGATCGCTGCTTGCGGAGCCTGGCTGGATTGGGGACTGGGATAGGGATAGCTCCAGATGTGGGACGGTAGACCTTGAGCTCTGACCCAGAGGGACGTGGAGGTCCTTGGGGCAGAGTGGAGGGCTTGGCTGAGGTCTTCCTGGAGGCCATGGCCTGGGCTGAAGTTTCCTGGCAGGAGACAGCAGCAGACCTCAGGTCCAGCTCTCTGGGCTTAGCCGTCATGCTAATGTTAGCCACATTAGCCTCCAACATCCCTCCTGCAGAGAGCCAAGCAACAGCATCAGTGACACACTCTGAAATACACACAAGCAGACAGAAAGAAATGGAGGGAGAAAAGAGGAGAAGGAAAGGTGTAAAAACGGCAAGACTGTGTCTGGTTTGCTCTCCCTCTATGCCTCTCTGTCTCCAGTGGGTCCAGACTGAGCCAGACTCCCCGCTGTGGGAGACTGTGGGTTCACCCCTCTGTTGAAAATGACGAGTAGGTTAGTAGAGTGGCAGTAGCAGTCACCCTTACTCACTGCTGGTAATCCATGGATGTGCAGATCTGTGTCCAGTGCCTAATCCACTTCCTCACAGCGTGTCTGTGGCTCCCTGTGCCACAATAGCACTGTAGAATAAATACAGCTCTGACCAGCCTCTTTCTCTGTCTCCCTCTCTGCTTCTCGCTCGCTCTGTATTCCCTCCTGCTTGCCAGGCGAGCAGCAGCCGACTGACACAGAGAAACAGTCGCAGCAGCAGCAGCAGCAACATCCCCCCCCTCCTCCTCTTTCTCTCCTCCCTCTACCTCTCCTTCACTCGCTGGTTTGCTCACTCTACCCCCGCTGGCTCATTCACCCTCCCTCTCCTTCCTCCTCCTCTATCCTTCCCTCCTTTCTTGTTGTCTCTCGCTCTCTCTCCTCCCACTGGCTGATTCACCCGCCGATCCTCTCTTCCTCTCTCTCTCTCAAACACATACCGCAGATGCTGTGTTATGCTGCACACCAGTGAAGAAAGAGAGAAAGACAGAAAAAAAAAAAGAAAAGACAAAAAGAAACACAAAAGCCAAGCGAGTCAGAAAAGAAAGACGGAAAGAAACAAAGAAATTTATATTGATCTCAGCTGCACGTGACTCAAATGAATCTAGATGCCAAATATTGGAGCCGGAATAAAGACCCCCTGCACACACAAACATGCACATTCAATCACTCATAATCACATTAGCTGCTCTATTCATCCATTCACATTCAGATTTTCTTATGCGCCCTAATCACGAGAGGCCCACCCATGATTAAGCTGATTCAAATTATCTGAAAAACAGCCGTGACTGCAGGATCAGCTTAGGAGAGGAGAACAGGACACACAGTTACTAGTCCCTAATACACAATGAGATAGGTCAGTCACTAATTATGCTTCAATTAGTAGCCACCAGACATCAAATGATCATCACACACACTCCACCTGTTTTATATTACCTCTCCACTCATCTCCATCACTCTTTACTCATTTCCTCCCTTCCTTTCCTTCCTTCCTTCCTCCACACCTACAGTATATCACCCATCCCCCCTTATAGTTAATATAGAGGCACAGGCCATTAAGTTTGTAGGGTATAGATTCATCACAGTCTCATCCATCTCTCAGCGTGATTAGTGCACACGTGTGCATGTGTGGGTGTGTGAATGAGTGTTGGTGTCTATATTTTTGTCTATCCTCCCCTGCATGTGTGTGTGCGTGGGTTTGTCTCTACGAGTGTGTCACATTGATGAGACAGGCTCAGTAGAAGCCAAAGCTCTCATCCAGGGACTCGGTTAGCTCTGGCACGTTCGGCTACATCATCTCAACGCTCTGGACATCCCATCTCAATCAACACAGGACACCGGAGGAACTCAGAGTCTTCTTCATTGTCATTGTTGTTCCTTTGTTTCACTCCCACATCATCTCCATGTTTGACCAGGATCCTTTGCTTCAAATACCTACAGGCTCTATTCCTGTAATCCTACCTAGCACACAGGGGTGGGTGGAGATCCGATAAGAGAGGGACATTACCAGAGAGAGAGAAATAGTATGATGTCGTTAATTCTCATCTGTCTTTATTTCCATTAGAGGTACTTGTGATGGCATATAATGAACTTTAAGTCAATCATTACACATTAACAATCAATACAACTACTTGCGATATAATTTGTTTTTGCGTATTAATGCATCCTGTCTGCATACAGTTCTTTTAGCTTAACCGGTGGAGTGTTTATCCTCTGGGTGTATTACCGTTAGTGCACTTCACTTTCTCTTGTATGCAAGCAGCAATGCCTGCAGCTGTGATGTTATCAGGTCTCAAACTGTTAGGAGCAGTATTCAAACAAGCAGGCTATTGGGCTAATGCCTGTTTTCCGTTACATTTGCATAAACTGGTTGACACTTCAACCAGAGTAAAAACAAGCAATGTCCTGTTTGCTCGCATTCCACACTCAATATTAGAGGTACCTTAAAAAAAAACTGCTAATTTTTCAACAGTACCCAAACTGGCGCCAACTGAACCCAAAAATGACAACGACACGCATTAAGGTACATGCACAGCACACTTCCCAACTACCTAACATCCATCTGGCCTTGACTGAGTGTGTGTAATACAGGGGCTCCGTAGCAGACAAAACACAGACATACATTGGCTGTTTTATTGTGTAAAGGCCGATGCCATTAATTAGAAACTGCTAGCTTTAATAAAGGGCCAATGTTGAGGCCGGTTATGCCACACTGAGACCAGAGCTGTGTGGTGACAGTTATGGGGGCTCTGGGGGCTGGTAGCAGGCCAGTAGGGGGGTAAGAGATGTAATTTAAGGCTAATAGGCGCTGTACATCAGCTCTTATACCTCCCTGATGAGGGATTAAGGTTAGTCAAACGAGAGTGACCACGTACAAGGCAGGTCTGTGTGTAGCGCACAAATGTACGTGGGGCAAAGACACGAGTCAGTGCTCTTGAAAGCACGTATACACACAGGTAAAGTGTGTGTTGGCAGCACACAGCCACTTGTTTGTTCTAGTACTCGTCTCTCTGGCTCCACAGTCTAATCACTTTAATATATGGCTGATGTAAACATATATTCTCTCTCTGTCTCTCTCTCT